GTTTTTTTTTTCACACACTGTGTATTTCTATAGGACATACAACATAAAGTTGTTGTTGTTTCTTATCCCCTTGTGTAAAGATTACACAAATTCCATGAGTTCATGCTCCTCCAGCTGTTTTATGATAAGCAGCGGCTTCTCCCAAAGGTCCTGTTTAGTACATCTAATACAAGCCAAAATGTGTTCTGGAGCTGCAGGTACCAAACTACATTTTGGGCAAATGGGGTAACACAACATAAAGTTGTGGGAAGATGATGGTCAAGGAATCACAACAGGCATCTCTTCCTTTATCTCTCCCTGATATGTCAGGAGTTAAATAAATCATAGGTTGATGTGTTTTTGTCTGAATCTACTTTTAACCAACAAATTATCTTTGGAAATATACTTTTATGTAATGTTAGGTTTTACAGTTGTAAAAATTGGGATTTTTTTTTTCCTAGGAGGAGAATAAAACTGTCTCGTGACATACTGAACAATCATTGGTAGCAAATTTCTTTTTTTTTTGAAGTTAAGTCATTTTACTAGATATTTATGTGCATGTATTTTAAAGTTTCTGTGTCTATATTAACAAAGTCTATCTTGGTGTTTCTCCAAGCTTTCTCTCTACTCCTTTTTTTATTATAAATACACCCATACCTCGCTTTGCATCTGGGTTACGTTCCAAAAAAAACACGACGCAAATTGAAACGACGCAAAGTGAAATTATGTGAAGGCGCAATCAAAAACAAAGGTCTTGCCATATTTTAGGAAAAAAAAAATTAAAGACTCGAATCCAAAACAATGCAACTTCGAAAATCTAACGACGCACAGTGAAAATCAGTAAAAATTAAGCAGCGACGCAACTTCGAAAAAAACGCAAAACGACGCAAAGCGAGGTATTGGTGTAAAACTATTTTACATATGTTACCAAATGTGCAATTGATGTTTACCTGGATGATGTCTCCATATTTGAATCCTGAATCTCTGCAATAGAATTATTGATGACACCTCCTTCCTTCCTTCCTCTATATTTAATTTTTATAAATTCTAATTGAAAAATAATCAAAGTCTATAAATCTATTTTTTAACAAATTATAACAACAAATTTAATTCCTAAAACAATATGCAAATATAATCAGAATAAAAAATTTATTGATATAAAACAAAGTCGTTTGGCTAAGATATAATTTTCTATATAAAGAAAAAAAGGCTTTTTTTCCTTCTCCCACAAGTGACTTTTGGTTCATTTTCTTTTTCTTATTATAAATAGAAAAAAAATTATATGCAAATTATATTTTAAAAAAACGTATATAATATAAAAAGATATTTATTTATACTAATAAAAAACTTATATTTCCATATTTTTTTTAAGATAATGTTATCACAGATGCTTTTTTTAGTCTAATTATATAACATTTTCCCCCTTTTTTTAATTGAAATCTGATTGAAAGTGCCTCTCTTTTGTTTGTTTATTCTTCTATTGTTATACAGTAAAACTACCTCTCTGTAATGGACACCTAGTTACAGAGCCAAAGGGTCCTTTAGGGAGAGGTGTCTTCTTACCGGAGAGTTGCTAAATAGTAAAAATGGTAATTTTACAAATGAAAACTGTCCTTTATAGAGAGGTGTCTTCTAGCATGAATGTCCTGCTTTTCACATGTGTCGACACGTGGTGCACTTACAGTAAAATCAGTCGCCTACTTCTACCTACCATGATTATCATGGTCTGTACTACGTGTACTAGGAATAAGCAAAAAAAAAAAAAAGTGTCCTCTCATGGAGGTATTTCTACTGTATTTATTTATCTATCTTTTTTTTTAAAAATATTTATAGAGATTTTTACTGTGTTTAAATATGTGGGTTTGTGTATTATTGTCTGCTAATAACCAATATGTAAAATACGGAGGAGAATGAGAATTTTTGATGCCTATTTGCACGCATGCCTGCCCTACACACACACATTCTGTTATGGCCGCCAAGATATCCTGCATAAATATATGTGTGCCGTAGATGTTTTATCCCCCTCACTTCTATCAGATAGTCTCTAATCATATCTTCCTCATGGCTTCTCACAATCTCATTCAAACCTTTCATTTTGTTTCTTTCTCATCTTATCATCCGCCGTTTCTACGAACTTGTGTCTGTTGTAATTCTTCCTCATTTTATTGTTTTCTTGTCTGATATAATAATAGCCATTATCTTTTCTTCTTTTTTTTTTAAATTCTTGTGTTTTTACTATCTTCTTCCTTCTTTTTTTTGTATTGATTATATAAATTAAAAAAAAACTATATAAAATGAATCATTTATATATGATTATTTTTTATTATATATATATATATAACAATAATATATATTATTAAAAAAAAAAAGATGTTAATAAAAGTTTACTACCCTAATGATTTGTGTGCTTTATTTGTAAATTGATATGTGACAATATCTTGATTATATGATGTGATACAATTTATTTTTTTCTAAAAATAAGGTAATAAAGATCATATACAAAAGTTTGAGTCAAAAGGCGATCCATCAGTTAAGTTTATACAAAAGGGCGTACCTGGATCTGTGAATTGCCCACTGTGTACAATAAATTGATAAAGAGGGAGCAATCTCTCGAAATAT